GTAACGCTATACAGCAGCCCAGATCCTCCCGCTGAGCTCGGAGGCATTTATAATACAGTTCGGGCCAAACGAAGTATATCGGGAGAGTAACGGGAAATCGGCGATTGAATATATGCTCGCCTACCTCAGCTGAGTTCAGGACCTAACCGTATCTGTCAGAGCACCAGCAATACGATACACTACTTGACCAAGACCCGCCTTTTAACAGTTTTTCAGCCCTCTCCAGAGCAAACCGTCGATTACGGTCGATCACCAACCCCCTCTAGTCGTAAGAGAGCAAGACGCCAAGCACTGGCTTGAATGTGTGGATGCATGAACGCTACCTAAACTACTCCTTAGCCTCAGGCGTTCACTCACTACACCATGAAAATCTACGCGCGGCTCGGTGGGAAATTCAACGAAAATTCCCTGAATTCTCTCGACACATTTGGTTGACAATATGCGTACCTCAGCATCATAAATATAGAATGCGACTCTACCAAGGCCTTAATATCGGCCACCGACTATCTCTTGAATGATATATACCCGTCTTCCCCCTCTACTCACCTGTAACTTCCTTATAGTGGCTGATAACGTCGTACAATCACCGACATACACCTTCATCGCCTTTCCTACCAGTGTCTTCACCAAAAGTATTCGATTATCCTCCCAAATACTCTCGATGTCTCTGGCACAGTCGCACGATGAGCTTCTACCACTACCAAGTAGGAGGGGAATGGTCATCATCATTTAGCATAAACCAACTGAGCAGGGGACAGTCGGTGGGCGAGCGAAAGAACTCTGACCTTGGGTGAAGGGTTAAACTCGTAATAAGGGTGCTGAGGGACGAAGCTAGACAGAGCACTCGGCAACAACAACAACAACGATGATGATGATGATGATGATGGTGATGGTGATGATGATGATGAATGGGAATAAACTTTTAAATGATACAGGAGGACAACCAAGACCCTCCAAGGGCTATGAGAATATGAAATCATTAATAATGGGGACAACTACCGCACTGCACACAATTCCCGCCAGCACAACGAGCGCACAAGACTTCAACCATATACCGCCACCAAGGATCGCCTTCTTCGCCCTAGGAGTGAAGACCTCATGAACTGCCCACACTACAAGACCGTATATAAGAGTGAACATAAGAGGACCAAGATGATGAAATCCTACCAGGCTGAGCTCACCCACCTGTCCGACATTCATGAGCTTGTTCCCAAGCATATACCCTAACACCGCAGCCACCCCAGCCTGTCCCTGCATCTCACGGCACAGCAGCAGATTGCCTAGGATTGAGCCCAGCAGGTACAGCCACAGCGCTTGAATGCCCACCTCTGGGAATAGGCTCGGTAGAGCTAGGGAGCTTACGACCCATTCAGGGGTAGTTGGGAAGGTTAATGCAGCAGGGAGGCCCGATGGGGAGAGTAATGTGGTGATCGCTAAGACCAAGACATAGTCGTCCACCGGCCACTCCCCTGTAAGGCTTGTCGGGACCTTGAACCATGTCCCTAGTACACCCAACCAAACACCTCCTCTACCAGAAGCCCAGGCCATAGACACAATACCACAAGTGTAGACTGATACTGGCCCTATACAAGGTAAGTGGCCCTCCTGAGTGGGGACAGTAGCATACATCATCACCAACACACCCAAGCATTTCATCACCAACACCACACGGTGAGCTAGTTTATCCAAAGCCATATACGACCAAGAGGAGCGTTCTATAGTTTTCATCTCAATGTAGGAAGCCAGATGGTCTACTGGTATGGCGCCGGCCGAGCCAATAGCATCGATAACCCTCTTACATGGTACTTGAGGGACCCTCACACACATAGTCTCACATGCAGCTACCCCTGGTTGCTTCCAAGCGAACCTATCCGAACCGTACGACGACAGCTTAGAGGACGTGCGAGGCGACCACCACTGTAGCCAATAGGCATCCACCCACAACCCAGGCTTGACAAGACCCATCAATGCCCCTATACCAGTTAACATATCATACACCCGCACGGCCACATAATCGGAGTAATGTGTGAGGGGCCTGAGGGCCTCTCTTAGGGGCATTGACCTACAGCGTTCAGGGTGATAGAGCAAAGTCCAGCTTAGGAAATCTAGACAACATTTGACACGTTCTGAGAGGGCGCATGATGGAGGCAAATACCTCGGGCCCGTATAGATCCTTCCCCCCTCTACCCCTGCATGGAGTCTTTCAACCAGCACAGTGTACT